GCAACAATTTGGAGAGGACTCTCCTAATTCAAAAATTATTTTGATGGTTAATGAATATTGTAGGAATGTTCCTCTCAACTTCAAATGTAGAGATTTTCTTTAAAAAAACACACATTTTTCATATTCAAAATTCACCTTAACCAACTATAGTCAAGTCATAAGTATTTATTAGTTTGATAGAAACTTGTTTAGTTATTATAATCAGTGAAATTAAAGACCAATCTTCCACCATTAATGGAATGCAGGATTTTCAGGAGTGTTAAGTTCATTAGCAGATGTCTTCTATCTTCAATCGTAAAGCCGTAATTCATTCTACACTTATGAATTCACAGGGCTGAAAAATTATGAGTACCCAGATAATTTAGTCCCTCCCCTTCAGACAGATCCATATTTAAGCTACTTTAAGAAATTTGATAATTGATGTTCCTTAGAACAACCTTGAAGAGAAGCAGTTTCGTATTCTTCCATGGAATAGAAATTCTGCTGTCAGAAAGGTTATTTTAAATTAGGCACAAAAGCTCACGCTAACACATTCAATGGAAATGATTACCCACTAATTCATCTATCTATACCACAGGATACTGCAATACTAGAAATTTCTTTATTGTATTTTTACTTGGCTTGTCCTGGAATGTAGTGCTTTAGACACAGAAACGGACACGTCCCCATAGCATGCCATGCAGAAATCGAACAGTTCTGAATATTCGGTTGTATGAGTACAGGTTGAATGATTTTACCATTTTTTTCTCCAAACTGAGCTACTTTGGAATGCTAAGGGGAGGAGCATTAACTGGATGGGAATCTGGATCTCTCAAGGTATTTCATTGGATCTTATGACAATAAAGTGATTGTGCAATTTGAATGCAGCTCCAGTGCCATTACTTTCATTTCCTTCCTCTCCTCAAGACAATTTAAATAGTTGTTTAAACAAATTTGACTGTTCTTTCTGGACTTGGAATTAAAATGGAACATGAAATACTTTCTTCTTATTGCTCTTTAATAAATGCTCATACTTGTTTTTGACATATTTCATGACTATTAAATTTAGTGAGAATTAATGAGTTAATTCATAAAATGTACAGTGTTTAAGATAAGTTTTCCACAGCTAGTATTCCAGTTGCCTAAAATAACAGTTAAAAAACAGTTTACACACTGTTATAAAGTAGCTACTACAAATCACTCCATGATAGTATTAACAGGCACTGAGACAAATCTGTGTTGGTGAACAGCAAGCCCAGCAATTTGAAGCTGCTATCTCCACAGGGGATAGCAAAACTCTCCTCGAATTATTTCAGCCTAAGGGTTGATACAGCAGAATAAACTGAAGGCTTTTAGTGAGTACAGATAATGGAGCAACCCATATGGTAAATCTGGGCATTGGGGACCCAACTCCAACTGATTTGCTAAGACTGAAAACTGTATAATAGTACTTTCAGTTACTCAACTATGTATTGTCTATTGCATGTTAGGTACCATAGTGGTTGCTGATAAACTAAGTAGACATGGCCCCCATTCTCATGGAGTTTATAATCTAGCAGCAGAAAGAGACAATAAACATTTAAATTCATAGGATAATACCACAAATAGGTAATTGATAGGTAAAATGATAACTGCTATAACAAAGTGAAGTTGGATAATAACATAAAGAATAACCAGGGGGCATTTAGGTTGGTTCCAGGTCTTAGCTATTGTGAATTGAGCTGCAATAAACATTAGGCTGCAGACCGCTTTTTTGTTTGCCAATTTAAATTCCTTTGGGTAAATTCCAAGGAGTGGGATGGCTGGGTCGAACGGTAGGGTTATCTTCAGGTTTCTGAGGAATCTCCAGACTGATTTCCATAGTGGCTTGACCAGTTTGCATTCCCACCAACAGTGGGTTAGTGTCCCTTTTTCCCCACATCCTCGCCAGCATCTGTTGTTGGTAGATTTCTGAATGTGAGCCATTCTAACCGGGGTGAGGTGGAACCTCATTGTGGTTTTGATTTGCATTTCTCTGATTGCTAATGACCTTGAACATTTTTTCATGTGCCTGTTGGCCATTTGGATTTCCTCTTTTGAAAAATGTCTATTGAGGTCCTTGGCCCATCTCTTAATTGGGTTGTTGGTTTTGTTTTTGTGGAGTTTCTTGATCTCTTTGTAGATTCTGGTTATTAACCCTTTATCTGTTGCATAGTTTGCAAATATTTTTTCCCATTCTGTCGGTTGTCTCTTCACTCTCCTGACTGTTTCTTTTGCAGTACAGAAACTTCTCAATTTGATGCAATCCCAATAGTTAATTTTGGCTTTGACTGCCTGTGCCTCCCGGGTCTTTTCCAGAAACTCTTTGCCTGTGCCAATAATTGAAGGGTTTCTCCAATGTTCTCTAGTAACTTGATGGTGTCAGGTCGTAGATTTAGGTCTTTAATCCATGTTGAGTGGATTTTTGTGTAAGGTGTAAGGTAGGGGTCTTGCTTCATGATTCTGCACGTGGAAATCCAATTTTCCCAGCACCATTTATTGAATAGACTGTCCTTGCTCAAGGAATTAGTTTTAGATCCTTGATCAAATATAAGTTGGCTGTAGATGTTTGGGTTGATTTCTGGTATTTCAATTCTGTTCCATTGGTCTATCCTTCTGTTTCTGTACCAGTACCATGCTGTTTTGATTACAACTGCCCTGTAGTATGTCCTGAAATCTGGTATTGTGATGCCTCCGGCTTTGTTTTTGTTGTACAAGATTGCTTTAGCTATTCGAGGTCTCTTGTGCCTCCATATAAATTTCAGCACCAATTTTTCCAGATCTGAGAAGAAGGTCTTCGGTATCTTGATTGGTATTGCATTGAATCTATAAATTGCTTTTGGGAGAATGGACATTTTGATGATATTGATTCTTCCAATCCATGAGCATGGAAGATTTTTCCATTTCTTGGTATCCTCTTCTATTTCTTTCTTTAAGGTTTTGTAATTTTCATCGTAGAGATCTTTAACGTCCTTGGTTAAGTTTATTCCAAGGTATTTGATTATGGGATATGTACTCTTTAGAATACTATACTGCAGTAAGAAACAACGAAATCCAGTCATTTGCAACAAAATGGAGGAATCTGGAACACATCATGCTGAGTGAAATAAGCCAGTCCCAAAGGGACAAATACCATATGTTCTCCCTGATCGGTGACAACTGACTGAACACCAAAAAGGAAACTTGTTGAAGTGAAAGGGACACTATGGGAAACGGTGACTTGATCAGCATAGCCCTGACTGTTAATGAACAACTTAATACATTATCCCTCTTAGTAGTTTTTTTGTCTGTTCTACTTAATATGACTGATTTAATTCTGTAATTAATACACAGTTATTCTTAAGTGTTGAAATTTAACTGAAATGTGATCCCTGTTAAACATAAGAGTAGGAATAAGAGAGGGAAGAGATATATAATTTGGGACATGCTCAAGCTGACTTGCCCCAAATGGTAGAGTTAGAAACATACCAGGGGACTCCAATTTAATCCCATCAAGGTGGCATGTACCAATGCCATCTCACTAGTCCAAGTGATCAATTTCAGTTCGCAATTGATCATAATGAAAGGACTAAGAGTCAAAGGGAGCACATAAGCAAGTCTAGTACCTGCTAACACTAACCGATAGAATAAATAAAGGGGAGAGTGATCCAACATGGGAAGTGAGATACTCAGCAGACTCATAGAATGGCAGATGCCCTAAATAGCACTCTGGCCTCAGAATCAGCCCTAAAGGCATTCAGATCTGGCTGAAAAGCCCATGAGAGTATTTCAGGCATGGAAAGCCAAGACACTCTGGCAAAAGATCTCTGTGAGTGAGATCTCAGTGAAAAGAACAGGTCTTCAAAGAAGGAGGTACCTTTCTCTGAAGGGAGGAGAGAACCTCCACTTTGACTATGACCTTGTCTAAACAAGATAAGAGTCGGAGAACTCAAGGGGCTTCCATAGCCTTGGAAACTCATGACTGGAGCATAGGGAGATTACTGATGCCATAGACAGGAGTGTCAATTGGTAAAGTCAACAACAGGAGTCACTGTGCACTTACTCCTCATGTAGGATCTCTGTCATTAATGTGCTGTGCATTGAGATTTAATGCTATAACGAGTACTCAAATAATATATTTCACTTTGTGTTTCTATGGGGGTGCAAACTGTTGAAATCTTTACTTAATGCATACTAAACTGATCCTCTGTAAAGAAACAAAAAAAAAAAAAAAGAGGAAAAGAATAGAAACTATCAACTCTCACTTGACTCTCACTGGGATTAAACATGACAATAGGTCTGATCTGATTTCATCATCATTAAAAAAAATCATCTATTATTTTTCACTTTATGTTTCTGTGTGGGAGCAAACTGTTGAAATCCTTACTTAATGTATACTAAGCTGATCTTCTGTATATTAAGATAATCGAAAATGAATCTTGATGTGAATGGAAGGGGAGAGGGAGTGGGAAAGGGGAGGGTTGTGGGTGGGAGGGACGGTATGGGGGGGAAGCCATAGTAATCCATTATTCGTACTTTGGAAACGTATATTCATTAAATAAAAGTTAAAAAAAAAAAAAAAGAATAACCAGGGGGAATACATTAGATGGATCTAAAAATGAAACCATATCTTGAGATTATATATTTTAAAAATAATGTAATATACAAACAATATCATCCAACTTTTGCTAGCCCTTCTCAGTCACAATAAAGATACAATTATTTTATATTCGTGAGTTAAGTACTTGACAAGAGTCAGTGATGGGAACATTGAAAATTTTCTGCTAGGTTCATTTAATTTTTCAGGCTAGAAAAAAAAAAAAACTCTTTATTTTTGCCAGAATGCTAAACATTCAATTTAACTGCATAGCAAAATGCATTCCCACTTACATTCTTTATGATGTCTCCTCACCTACAGGCAACTCCCACTTCCCACCTCATTAGGTGAAGAGATCACAAACGTTTGGCTATGTAGCAGGCCCTTCAGATCGTAGAGAGTTCCAGTTGAGTCATGAAAAGCGAAAAGTTCAATCAGTTGCCCAGATGTATTTATTGCCAAATAACTGGGTACTTGGATACATCTGGACAGCCGAATGAACTCTTAACTCCTCATTTGTCCAACAACTCTTTGTTTCACAACTTCAGAACCTCCTAGATACATGGGAGAGAAACAAACAAAAAGCCACTTTGGAATTGAAGAGTCAATCTGGTTTTGCTATCCCATCTTGCTACTGTTTTATAACTTACTGCTATAAAATACATACAATGTTTTAAAAGTCAATAGTATCTATTACAACAGATTAATAATGTGAAAATAAAATATGTCATGGATATAGAAAATTGAGCCGAGATAAAAATTAATCGACCAGAATAATTTACATAAAGCAAAATTCATTCAGGTGTCATTCTACATCCCAGATGTTAAAAATCTGTGGTATAGCATAAAGGACATTAGGCTGGGCAGTTGGAGACATGGGTTCTAGTCCTGACTCTATCTCTTAGTTGATGTGTGCCTTAGGATAAGTCACTGAACCTCTTTAGGCCTCAGTGATTTCACCCATAACATTAAAAACTTGCAATTACGGACCTCTATCCCTTCTTACTCTGAAATAGTGGGATATTTCTAAATAGTTATCTTTGGTTACAATTAGATTCTACTTGTTATTGTCAATCAGATGTAAAATATGACATTCATCTGAAAAAACCTCACGACTCAAAAGGAGTATGAAGGTGATTTTTGAGTGTTCTCATAATGCAACCTGCCTATCCCTCAAATTAACAGGTATGCCTTACATACTACCTCTTTGTTCTACTTTGTTAAATGAATATCAAATACATCTCTCATTTTAAAAGTTAGGAGAGCACACAGACTCACAAAAAATTCAAAATGAAATTAATTACTTTTAATTGTATGACTTAAAATATCTAATGCCTAGACTACTTCACAAGTGAAGGACGAGCAGTACTGGTCAGTTTTGCAGCTCTCTAAAGCTTGGCGTCCACGTCACTGGGTGTAATGCTCGTCTAGAATCTGTTTACCGCTTGGTATACTCTTCTGCCACTTGATTGGCTCATACAGAAAAATAGCACATCTGCTGGGCAATTTTGAAAATACTGTGTTTCTTGCACTAGTTTTCTGAGCCTTATAACAGATGGTCTCAATATTTAGAGAAACAGAACGTCTACTTAACTTTTTTCTGTATGATTAAAGCTAAAATATCAAACCACAAATGACATGCAATGTACTTTCGCTTTTTCAATTCTCTAGCTAGATTCATGCAGAATTTTGTTAGTTATCCTCTCAGAGTACTTCCTGTAAAAACACAATTTGCAAAGTAGAATCTGTCAGGACATTCAAAGAAACACAAATCCTCAAATTCTTTCGCTCATAACTTCAAAATATGTGTGTGCCTTTGTATAAGTGTTAAGGGTTGGAATGAAAGGAAAGTGGCTAGGCACAAATTTTATTATTGCCATCCTCCAAAACACCATAATTTCATAAGCTGAAATTATTTTATCGTGATTCAAAAGCCCTTTGAGTGACAAAAATTTTATTTAAATTCATTCATTAATTAAATCTATTTGAGAGGCTGAGAGGGAAAGAGAGAGAGAGAAACAGAGAAAGCTCTCATTTGCTGGTTTATTCCTCAAATGCACACAATGGGTGGCAGGGACCCAATTACTTGAGCCATTACCTGCTGCCTCCCAGGTGTGCATTAGAAGAAAGCTGGACTCAAAAACTTGGAGTGGGAATTGAACACAGGCAGCCTAATAGGGGACATAGGCATCCTAACCTGTGTCTTAACTATAAGTCAAATGCCCACCACTGAATAGTTTCATTCATGTTTTTCAAGAGGGAGAATTAACTTAGCTAATATTAAAACATAGAAAATACTGATTGTTGAAAATTTGGAAAAAATAACTCATTTGTGAAAAAGGTGCTTCACAACAACCACTGTTTTTACATCTCATTGAAAATTCTTCTTCTTCTTCTCTCTCTCTCTCTCTCTATATATATATAGTCAATCATGATTATTCTACCCATTCAAGTGCAGCAGAGACAGTTTGCTATCACATAGATTCATTCTATAATACAGACAAGCATCAGATTATTTTGCTAAAATGTCGACATATTATTCTACAGCTTTATTCAAAGTTAAGGTAAATTTTAAATATAAAAAGTAAAGGTATTCCTGAGACACCCTTGAAGTCATTTGAAATATAGACTGGGATGTTAGATATTGTCAAGAAATCATTCTTAAAATTGTAAGGTATGATAATTATATCTTTTTGTAAGACCATACCTACAATTTTAGAAATGCATAACAAAGTGATACAAAACGATTTAAAATAATTCAACAAAGAAAACTGGGAAAAGAAAGGGATAATCAAGTGTCATAAAATCTTAATAGTTACTGAAAGTTGGTGATGGAGATATGGAGAATCATTTACTAATGTCTCTACTACTGTGCAATTTGGAAGTTTTTCAAAAGAAATTATAACTACAAATAAGATATGTTTCAGGTTTTATAGCATGAGAAATGTTAAATGTTCTCAAAGATGGAAGACCTCACAAATCTAATTTGGCAAAAACCTCACTGTTTTATATTCAATCCAGTTTTGATTTTTAGCACCTTCATAGGCCACCAGTCCAGTTGTTGAAGACAAAAATAAACAAACCAGGGTCCAGTGTTGAAGTGCAATGTGTTACGTCACTGCTTAAAACCCTGGCATCCAACATGGGAGTGCCCATTCCAGTCCTGGTTGCTTCACTTCCAATCTATCTCCTTGCTGATGTGCCTGGGAAAGCAATGGAGATGGTCTAAGTACTTGAGCCCCTGCCACCCAACTGGGAGACCTGGATAGAGTCCCAGGCTCCTGCCTTCATCCTAGTCCAGTCCTGGCTATTGGGGCCATTTGGGTAGTAAACTAGTGAATAGAAGATCACTCTTTGTCTCTCTCTCTCTCTCTCTCTCTCTCTCTTTATTTTACTCTGCCATTTAAATAAATAAAATAATAACATAAATCTTAGAAAGTTAAAGCTATTATTTTAATCATCCTACAGAATAATGAGAATGACATTTTCCCTAATAAAAAGTTGGTATTTCTTAATAATATAAAATTATACAGGTATTTTTGTCATGACTTTGTGCCTCCCTAGTAGACGATATAATGCATTTTGAGAAAAGTGGTCCTTGGGTAAACCACATTTCCAGTAATAATTTATTAAAAAAATTTTATCAGCACCACCCTCTCCTCTTAAAAGTTTAGGACAGCTTGAGCTTTCTTATCTAAGCTCTCCAGGAAGGTACAGTAATAGTGATTCACTAGATATAGGCCACAAATCTAATTTGGCAAAGCTCTGAAATATTTTGCAGGGCAACTATTTCCATAATGCATTACTGGGCATAATTTTTCAACATCAGTGACTACATATATTGAAAAGTTGCATTAATTAAATATATTCATTTCCTATTGGAAATCTTTATTGACTCAACAAATTTATGAAGGAAAATGGATTGGGTGCTAATCATTACTGAGGTATGGTGTGATAGCCCTGCCTCACATGTGACTTTATAGACCTTCTAAGTTATGAAAGGAAGTAGGTTAACAAGAGTACTTTATTCTTTTCTCTCATTTCAGAGGCTATGTATGTCATGAGCTCATAGAAATGGTATTTAAATTCTGTTTTACTTTTCCAAACTGCATGTGATACTACATTATGTGTTAACAAAAATATATGCATTAACATGAATATTTGTTCTATAAAAAGTAAACAATAGGGCCCGTGCTGTGGTATAGTGTGTAAAGCTGCCACCTGCAGCGCCGGCATCCCATATGGGTGCTGGTTCGAGTTCTGACAGCTCCACTTCTGATCCAGCTCTCTGCTATGGCCTGGGAAAGCAGGGGAAGATGGCACAAGTCCTTGGGCCCCTGCACCCGCATGTGAGACCCAGAAGAAGCTCCTGGCTCCTGGCTTCAGAATGGCACAGCTCCAGCTATTGTGGCCATCTGGGAAGTGAACCAGTGGATGAAAGACCTCTCTCTCTGCCTCTGCTTCTCTGTAACTCTGCCTTTCAAATAAATAAATAGATCTTTAAAAAAAGAAATTGTGAGTTTCAAAGAGGTCATGGAAATTCTAGAGGAATACTTTAAGGATAAAAAATTAGGACAGTTAGGAAAACAATATCTTCAAAGAGGTTATGTGTTCAAAAGGGCATTGCTGATTTATTCAACGCATGGATTTGATACTTACTATGTACCTTGCAACATTCTAGATCCTTGGATCACACCAGTGAATAATGCAAAACTCCCTGCTTAGGGAGAGATAACATTTTGTTCTTTCCATCAACTACCAATTTTTTTCTTTCTTTTTTTAAAGGATTGATTTATTTATTTGAAAGGCAGAGTTACACAGAGAGAGAAGGAGAGGCAGAGAGAGAGAGAGAAAGGTCTTCCATCCTCTGGTCCACTCCCCAAATGGCTGCAACAGCCAGAGCTATGCCGATCCGAAGCCAGGAGCCAGGAGATTCCTCCGGGTCTCCCACTTGGGTGCAGGGGCCCAAGGACTTGTGCCATCTTCCACTGCTTTCCTAGGCCACAGCAGAGAGCTGGATCGGAAGTGGAACAGCTGGGACTCGAACCAGCGCCCATATGGGATGCCGGCACTGCAGGCAGCAGCTTTACCTGCTACGCCACAGTGTCGGCCCCCAATTTTTTTCTTAACTGAATATATATAATTTGGTATACCTATTGGTATAATTACTAAATGTTTTTAAGATTTTACTCATGTATTCCATAGGTAAAGGAATGAACTTTACGCAACTACTTTGGGCAAGTAACCTCGATCCTTAAGTTTTCTTCCTAATACATTTATGATTATACATTCCCAACTATTCACTGTTGAAACTTATTTTTTCCACCATCTGCTGATATTGGTGTTCTGAAACAAAATTAGTTGTTACTGCATTGCTTGTTATTGTAATAAATATTCTTTCCGTTATAAAATCTTCTGCTAAATTACTAAAATATTTTTATCCAAGTTAAAACCATCTGTATAGAGAAGCATCTAAGAAAATGAAAGCCAAAGAGAGAAGA